TAGGAATCTCTCCATCTTAAGATTTTATGTAAATATTCCATTTTCCATGCTGATCAAATGAAAGAAGGTAGTTCTTCATTGTCATCTATTAATTGTAGATTTATTTTACTTTGGGAATTACTATATGTTTATACTTTTCTGATGCATCTTTTTTGGGATGAAAAAGTTAAGATATTTATAGTTTTAAAATATCTGTTTTTCCATATGACAGATTTTCATAGTAGTTAAGGATTTGCACTTTGCTGTCAGATATATTTGAGATTGTGTCCCAGCTTTGTCACTTGCTAGCTAGGTATATGTTTTTAAACAGGCATTATTGCTTTTCTGAATCTTTTATCCTAATTTAAAAAATAGGAATCGTAATAAAACTTGCATAGTTGAGATACAGGGAAAAATCAAATTAGATGATTTATCACAGTGCCTGACAGACACGTGGTTGCCATTTATTTACCGTTTTAGCACCGCAACCACCATTGTTATTCTGTGGAATATTATTTAATATGTAAAGAATCAAGAACTCATTAATTTTACTTAATTTAAAATCTTGAGATGAAAAGATTCCTATAATAATAATAGGAGGAGCAAGGATAGAGATGCTTAGAAAAACTGGTGAGATACTCACATGCATTATTTACATTTCCATTTTCATAGAACTTTTAATCTGATGCATTTAACGATCAGAGTCTGTCTGCTAGTTTCCAAAGGATATAGTCAGTTTTTAGAAAGACAATTTAGCTATGGTATAGGAAATAGACTAAAGGAGACAGGAGTGTCTAGGAGACTCTTACAATGAGAAGTCATGATGACATGAACTAAGATAATAGAAGTGTGGGCAGAGAGAAATGAATAGTTTTGAGAGTTACATAAGATGTAATATAAACAGTGATTGGAAATGAATGAACAGAGACTTAAAAATCAAGAATGCAAAGTAGTAGCAATGGCTTATTTTGTAGTTTTCTCCTATAATTTTCATTATTTTGTAGTTTTCAAAACTAAAATCATTAGTGGATATGATTTTTTTTTGTTTTAGTAATTATGGTGTTTTAAAATTTCCAGTGGAATTACACATTATATTGTTTAATAGAATCCTCATAATTGTCCTTTGAAGTAAGTCATTTAGAGCATTTTACAAATAAAATAACTCAAATCCCAGATTAAATATTTTACAGAGGTTTCCACAGTTGACAGAATTAGAACTTGAATATAAGACTTATAACATTTTCTGGCAGGTATTTCAAACCATTGTGTATATAGCATTTGGACTAATTAAATAAAATTTGGGGGGCATATTATTCTGAAACATTTTAAAATTTATTGTATTTTTTGTTACAGGGAATTGACAATTCCGTTTTTACTCTAAATGAAGGACATTCAGCCCAGATTTGTACTGTACAGTTGGATAAAGCCAGGCTACATTTAAAATTACTTGACTATCTTAACCACGATTGGAAAAGTGAATATTATATAAAACCTAATCAACAAGACATTAGTTTCATCAATTTTACCTGTGTTACAGAAATAGAAAAGACTGATTTAGATATCGCTATCCATGTGACTTACAATACTGGTCAGACAGTTGTGGCGTTTCATAGTCCCTATTGGATGGTCAATAAAACTGGTCGAATGTTACAATACAAAGCAGATGGAATCCATCGAAAGCATCCACCTGATTATGAAAAGCCGGTTCTATTTTCTTTTCAGCCAAATCACTTTTTTAATAACAATAAGGTATGTGATGTTTTTCCTAACTTTCACTTTTCTTTAGTTATTTGTCACTCCTTTTTAGTTTTTAGAGTTTTAAAGAATAAAATGTTATGAAACTGGGTAGAGATAACATTTGTTAAATATTTGAGGTTAAAAAGATTAGAATTTAATATTGGGAAAGGTTTAGTGCATTAACAATACAATATTTAGTTTATGCTTAAAAGTAAAAAATGTGTCAATTTAATGAGGAATTTTTAAAGGTACCTAATTGTAATATTTTTGAAATATTTTTTCCTAGGTACAGCTTATGGTAACTGATAGTGAGTTGTCAGATCAATTTTCAATTGATACTGTTGGTAGTCA